GAAAACAGAAAATAACTCATAAAATACGACCTTTACACATACATTTGCACTTTTGAAAATAATTGGCGTTGTATTTTGATGTAAAACAAAGAAAACACCTAATTCATTTTGCTGGATTTATATTGCCATCGGAGTTGATTTGAACAAACAAATTTAATTGTGCGAAATTTACTAATTAGACAAAATCATAAAGAGTAGTTTTATGTATTTCCTAAAAATTTATTTTAAGCAGATATATTCTAAACTCCAAAATACCACTTATAGTCCGCAATGAGTCAAATCAACTCCTCTTAGTACTTAGCACGGTTCTGATAAAATAACAGTAATGAATGGTAATTTCTGATAAAAAAAAAACCCAGAAATCTTGTTATTGACACCAAAATATACGGTTTTCAAATCATTCATTTGTAAATTGTTCTGTTCAGATGGAAACGGTTTAACAGAAAATCTTATTTTCAAAAATTTACTTCTTACTACCAAACATTAAGTGCAAAATACAAAACTGAAAAGTGAATTTAAACAACTAAACGGTTTTCGGTGTTCCAATAGATCCAGAAACACGGTAAATTTCACCATATTGTAAGTTGTTATTTGTAGTATGCATTATAGATGATAATAAGATTTAAATAGATAATACAAGAAAATTATATCAAGTTAATTATAAAATGTGATAAAATTTTTAGATGACTAAAGCCTTGGAAGATCTCATTAACAAAAAAGGATCAGAATACAAACAAAAATTGTTAGACTTGATTGACCGATTCTTGGGAAAAGATGGCCAATTTGCTGAGCAACACTCCCTCGGAGACAGCAGAAGATCTGTTCAAGATGCAGAGATTCAACAGATTGAATTCAACCTCAAGGATCTTTTCAGAAAGCTGAAGAAAGAGGTAAAATCAGATTTAACATAAGAGCGCTTATTATAATAAGCGTAGATTATAATAAGTCATTTTATTTAACATGTTTTATTAGAAATTTCTTAGATAAAATGGCTAAATAACAATTTGCTCAATAGTTTTTTTTTACTATACTCAAACAAAATAGTACAGTAACGGTAAATAAGATGGTATTCGAATTGATAGTTAATGAAGCTTTGCAGCTGGGTACATTCTATAGCAGAGAGAACTGATCTGTCAATCTCATGAGCGACAGAACGGAAGTTCGAATCTCAGTATTGATGCCACAATACCACCTCTTGATAAACCATAATCTAACTCCAATGTCCATTATCTAAACGAATAGCCTGATTCCAATGTCTAGTTAAATTTCCTTTTTACGGTTTTGGAACCATACTAGCTGTAAATGGTTAAAAAAACTTATAGTTTCTTATTAATTGCTTTTTATCCATATTAGTTGTACATGGTTTTTAAAACCGTAAAGGTAAGAAATGTTCTTTACCGCAAACTTTACGATTAATTGGATGGACAGATGGCTGCCGGTTTTTTTACCATAATTTTAGAATGAAAATTCTGTGCTAGAAATAAATAACAATTTTTAGAACATGAAAGTGTTCCGTAATGTTCAATCTTAATTTATTTGCAAGACTGTAAAAAAACTTAAATAAAAAACCATGTTTAATGGAGTTTATAAATATTATATTAAGGGTGGACACCATTTAAAAAACGTAATAGTTTTTAAAAAGGTTTAAATTTATTGAAAAACATAGTTTTTCAAAATTTAGTTGAACACATTTATATTTATCACTGTATAAGTGTTTCGAAATCATTTTGACAATGCACGCCGTGACTGCACTGATAGAAAAAATATGGTTAAACCTATATAATAAAATTTATGGTATTTCTGGCTCGTATTACCCATTAGACTCGATAATGTTTACAAAAGCGCGTTAATAATGATTTCAATAAAATCAACATTAAAAAGTGTTTTGATTGTATTATATGTTATAAAATTTGAAAAATGGGGTAAGTTGAAATGGGCGTATAAAGTCATAGTGACTTTTCGCTCCACAGACAGGGACAAAAGTGTTTCGGTCACGAAACTAACAAAGCGTTAGCTTCGTTAGAGCGTGTGAAATTGCCAGCTTTTCGTCATTCACCTCTTTTAATTTAAAGCAAACGGCTGCACATAATTGTTTCCATACGCAACTTATACTGAATGAACAGTAAATACAGTACAGAAAGTGAGAAAATATCGAAAACGGATAAAGCTATTGAAATTAAGTTACATAATCTACTGTACATACACGCTCTGACAAAATAGTTGTTAGTTTCGTGACATAAGCACTATTATCTGTCTGTGGAACAAGAAGTCGTGATCATTTTATATGTAGAACTGATTATGACCTTAGATTAGCTTAAAAAATGAGGCAAAATATCTAGTAATAGGTTGCTAGATAATAAACAAATTTGACCAGGTGGACTCTATGGTGGAATTTAACCCCAGCAACTTCCATGTTCTGGTGAATTCTGGGCTATTTTGCCTTAGTTTTGGCAAACTAAACAAAGAACTGCTTTAACCCTGTGACGCAGATGGTATGTTGATTGTTCTCGAACACCTTAATCTTTCATACTTCAATGAACATTATTATATAATGTTACAAATGGATGTGTAATTGCTCAATTAAAAATTTCGAATTCATTTAATAAATTTGTTTTTGTCATACAAATATTTTTAATTTCTGACATTTGCGTCTGCCTATGTATATCCTTATGCAATTTTCATAATTATTTTCAGCTCTTAGAAACCATTGATAAAGAAAAAGTTAAGGCCATGATTGAGAAGCTCTTTGGAAAAGGAAGTGACGTAAGTATTTTTTATTTACTTTTTATGATAAAATTAAATATCTTTTCAATATTTTTAATCTTCCATGCAATATGCCATCAATTATTATACGAAAGAAAATAATATTTTTATTTCTTGATTTATAAACAAAGAAGAAAAAGTAATTGTAAGATAACATATGGGAAAATATTTTACATAAGAAAACTCAATGGTTCTTTTTGCTTAAAATACAGAAATATTTTTATTCCGTTTTAAAATTTAAATATAACATTACTTTAGGAGCACACCTGGCAAGTTTTAAGAATTTCTGAGCACTTGAAGCAAGTCGACTTTTATTATCATCTTCATATTTTTTTAAACCAATAAAGTTTTTAGTCTTTCTGTGTTATTTTCTTGGAATTATTTATCTAACTATTGTTTATCGAAATGCTGAGAACCATAATTTTAGCACTGTATTATGTAAAATTAAAACTTCATGACAAATGAAACAGAAAAAAGTACATTACGGTAAATAAATACAGATGCAAAAAATAATAAAATAATATTTTAAGAGAGCAATTGTAATAATCCATTGTAACTGCTTTGCATTTTTTTACTGATTTCTCTGATAATCAACACAGAGATTTATAGTGATTAGTAGAACAATAATCTAGCAAAATTTAATAAAACAATACTTAAATAATAAGGAATTTAATCGATAGCATAATTTTAGCAATGTATTAAATTTACCTTCAGTTATGTTGATGATTGTTTTGACAATTGAAACAGAAAATAATTTCAGTTAGACAATATTTTAACAATAATAAATTAAACAGATAAAATAATTCTAGAATTGCATTGGAATTTCTCAGTTATACTACTGATCCTTCATTCCATGAAAACAGAAAATAACTCATAAAGTACGATCTTTACGCATAAATTTGTACTTCTGAAAATAATTGGAGTTGTATTTTGATGTAAAACAAAGAAAACACCTAATTCATTTTGCTGGATTTATATTGCCATCAGAGTTGATTTGAACAAACAAATTTAATTGTGCGAAATTTACTAATTAGTCAAAATCATGAAGGGTAGTTTTATATATTTCCTAAAAAAATGTTTTAAGCATATATATATTCTGAACTCCAGAATACCAATTATGGTTCACAACGTGTCAAGTCAACTCCTCTTAGTACTTAGCACGGTTCTGATAAATTAACAGTAATAAATGGTAATTTCTGATAAAAAAAACCCCCAGAAATCTTGTTACTGACACCAAAATATACGGTTTTTAAATCATTCATTTGTAAATTGTTCTGTTCAGATGGAAACGGTTTAACAGAAAATCTTATTTTCAAAAATTTCTACTTCTTACTACCAAACATTTAGTGCAAAATACAAAACTGAAAAGTGAATTTAAACAAATAAACGGTTTTGGCATATTCTATGGTTTAATGATAAAATTATCTAATTTTACTACGCATACAAAATTTTATCACACGTTCATCAAAAAGCCATATTTTATTGGTAAATTTACCAAAACCATTAGCAAAGCGCTGCAGTAAAAAATCGTGGTTTTCGGTGTTCCCATAGATCCAGAAACACGGTAAATTTCACCATATTGTAAGTTGCTATTTGTAGTATGCTTTATAGATGATAATAAGATTTAAATAGAAAAAAAAATTATGTCAAGTTAATTATAAAATGTGATAAAATT